ATTCACAGATTCTACTTTGACTATATTTTATTTATTAATGTATTATGAGTTAATTTTTTAAATATTTTCAAATTCCTCTCATAGTAAATTTTCAAAATCTGATTTTTTAAATTTTTTTAGTAATAAGGAATGAAAGATATTAACGATCAAACTTATGTGTTGGCAAGTGTGAAAAGTTGACTGTTGTAATTAAAAAAGAATGAAGTACTATTTTTCGGTTTGGATTTGTTAATTTTAATAATATATGAAGGTGTTTTTGAATTTCTTTAGTTTGGTTCGGTTTAATACAGTTTGGAAGAAATAGTACCAAAATCAAATCAAATTGCATATGGTTCGATTCGGTTAAACCAAACCATTATGCCCATCCCTAGATTTTATGGACAAAAATAGGGTTGGGTATATCGGTTTTGGTTCGGTTTTTATCGGTTTCGGTTTAGAATGGGTTGAAAAAAGTATTACCAAACAAAAACAATACTTTTTTTTCGGTTTGGTTTGGTTTAGTTGGGTTTAGATTTGTTAATTAATAATATGTGAAGGTTTTTTTTGGTTTCTTTAGTTTGGTTCGGTTTTGTTCGGTTTTTACCAGTTTTGATTCGATTCGGTTTAATACGGGTTGGAAGAAATAGTACCAAACTCAAACCAAATTGCATATGGTCCGGTTTCGGTTCAGTTTAGTTTGGTTTGATACGGTTCGATTAAACCAAACTGTTATGCCCACATCTAGACAAAAATATGATTAAACTTTGTTTGGACAAAAAAGTGACCGAAAAAGGTTGGAATGGATTTTAATGCCCTTGCAACCCTAATTTAGAGCCTGTTTGGAGAACTCTGTTTTCGGCTTATCAGGCTTATCAGCCAGCTTTTTCACCAAACACGTAACTTTTACTTTCGCGCGCTGAATTGTGTAATAAGCCGAAAAAGTAAGGTTGGAGTTACTTTTCTGGCTGTATTGGCTGAAGTTACTGTAGAGGACCATTTTAGCTATTTTTACATATAATTTTTTCTTTAATTTATTAATAAAATATATTTTTAAAATATTTTTTTCTTAAATCAGCAGAATCAGCCAAAACAGCCACTCCAGCCAGAATATCATAAATTTCAGCAGAATCAGCCAAAACAGCCGATTTTGGTGCTACCAAACGGGCTCATATTAATCGTTTCTTTCGATGATGCATTCGTTCCCATGTCTAGTGCTGCGCTTCTTCTTAATGCTCGATAGGCGATGGCGAGCCATGTCCAATGACAACCAGCTTCGAGTCTTCGACTGCGACAACAAGCAGCGACGCTTATGATGACGGTCAACGGTGGCGGGGAGCAGCGACCTCAATATCCAACCACGGCAATGAAGATTGGTGTTGCCCTCTCCTTCTCTCTCTTAGGCTTCCCACTTTCTTCGCCGCACGCCATTTGGCTATTGGGATGAAAATTGACGGTTCATCATCGCCTTCAACTGGTTGCGCCTCTGGTGGCCGATGGTTGCCTCGACTAGCCTCTCCGTCATGCTCAATGGCCGCGCCTCCTAGGGGGCCGCCAGTGCCGGATCTGTCGTCTTCGATGGACGACGGCTTCGATTTGGGGCCACGGGTATCGGATCTGTTAGGCCATCTTCAACACCATTTTTTACACTAAAATGGTGTAAACATCACATCAAACAGTATTTTATCTCTAACAGTTTACACCATTTACATCACCAAAAAGGAATATTCTCTTTTTATTCTTTTTACTAACTTTTACCATTCTTCTATTTATGTATCTAACTATCATATATTTATACATTAGCCCATCATTTAATATTTTGACATTTCACACATTATTTCACATATACAAACTAAAATACAAGTATTTTCACGCATTTCACTAATTAAAATCAGGGCCGTCTAGAGCGATTGTGAGGCCCTAGACGGTCATTTAGACATTTTGTTTTGATACATTTAATTCAATATAACAATATAAAAAAGGAAAAATTGATTGTAATAATCCCAACTATTGGCGGTCCGCTTATAATAATCCCAACTATCAATTATTTTAGAATAATCCCAACTTTAGGGTCCTTCTGCCAATAACAGTCCCTGTAAATAAATTCATGTACTTTCTGAAGTGGATGAGAAGAGATATAGCAAGTAATCTCTATAAATAATCTTAACTTTTAAATTTTACGCTTAATTTCTATTTAAAATTCACTTTTATAGAAGGTAATATTTGGTCATGGACTATTATTAGCGGATGGTGCATATAGTTGGGATTATACAAAAATAATCAATAGTTGGGATTATTGTTAGCGGACCGGCAATAGTTGGGATTATTATTTTCAATTTTTCCTATAAAAAAAATAGAATTTCAAATGAAATAAAAGTGAATTATATATGAAATGCATCATATAATATTAACATTTACTTCAACCTCAACATTTGTAGCCTCATTCTCAACAATATTTGAGGGATAAGGTTTAGATATTATGTACCGATCCATAGGCCGGCAAACGATTTTATGACCATGTCTTTTCTTAATTTATTCAATCTCTTTGTGGACCCCGAGTCATGTTTTCCTTTTCCCATAAACCTACAATTTCATACAATTTCTAACTAGATAAAGTTTTTCTAACTTTCAATATTGAATAATATAAATACAATTATACAAATACACAATAATTTTTAATGATTAAATTGAATTATTATTATTTGATTTATTATAACATAATTATACAACAAATACCGATAGCCTAGTCCCTACAGTCCCCTGTCTCTACTGAAGGCTATAACCTACTGCCTAAGTCCTAACACCAACTAACTATTAAAGAATTAACAATTCAAGGCAATCAAATTAAATGATAGATCAACTACATCAATAAGTGAAGGATTTGATCATTTTAAAAGCTACCAGAAAGATTATCACGAGTGAAGACAGTTGGACAGAAGACCATTACATAATTTTAGTCCTTTACTCTTTTAGCCAGAGGCCCTGTGCTGCTGTGCACCTGTGCACGATGCGGATGTTGGGACTCTATGGCCGATGGCCACTGCGGTCTACGCCGGCGGAATTGAGAGGGGAGTAGGGGACCAGCTATTGACGATTGCTGGGATTTGCCGTTTCTGAAGAGGCGAAGAAGAGAAATTGAAGGGTCAAATCAAGAAAACTGAAGACTCTTAGACTCGTCCGCTCCCTCACTCGTCTGCCGGTTTTAAATTTTTTTAATGTTTTGCTCGGTACTTGTTAGATTAGAAGATGTTTTTATCATTAATTAGCAATTTAAATCAAGAACTTATATATAATATATATGGGCTTACATGAAAAATTGGAGGCCCCTTAGAAATTGGAGGCCCTAGACAAATGTCTAGGCTGGATGCCCCTATGGCCGGCCCTGATTAAAATACAATAATCAATATTTCACAAATAAAAGCTAAAACCACATAAAATTAAATATTACAATAATATTATAATAATTTGTACGTCATTAATAAAGTACTACTTAAACTTAAAGCAATAGATTAATATTGTCTTGGGATGTTTTTACTTGGACTGTAATTTGTCTCGGGATCATATCAGACCTGATTAGACCACACTTGCATAGTTATAAATATACAAAGAAATCAGACCAGACCACATCATTTCAGATCAGACCGGATCAAATCAGACTAGATCAGACCAGAGCAGACAAACCAATTTCAGTCCAAGTAAAACATCCTAATTTGTTGTTTTAAAAATGGATCAAAACTATAATAATTAAAACTTGAAGGTCACATTTAAAAGGAAAAGAAATTAAAAAAGTTGGATGGTGTTGAATATGGTGTACCCCATATATGGTGTAAAGCCATCCCCCCTCCCCCATTTTGGTGTAATGGTGTGAAGTTTGGTGTCATTGTTGGAGCATTTTTTTTGCCAAATACACCATTTTGGTGTTGAAGATGGTGCTTGTTGGAGATGGCCTTATTATCGATGGACGATGGCTCCAATTATGGGTTGCCGCTGCTGGTGGGGTGCAACAAGGGTTTCGTGGTGGTGCGGTGTGTTATGGCTAGGGTTTTGGGCTAACTGGTCGGAGAAGGACCTGGGGGAGGACATGGGGCAAGGCAAGGGAGTAGAAGAGGGGGGTTGGGGACAGGGAGTGGGTTGGGGGGCAGGTGGGTAGGGGTAGGGGCAGCTCAAGGGAAGACGTGGGTCATCGGGGGGGGGGGGGGTCGGAGGTTGTGATTGTTGAGTGTTGGGGGGCTGGTGAAAGGCGGCGGCAGTGCCTTGGGCTGGGTAGCGGGATGACCGTAGTGTTGTTGTTGGTGGTAGGGCGGTGGAAAAAGTAGTCGGAAAACTTTTCGGCCATCATATTGACGATGTGGCGGTGACCAGAGTAACTTCCGGTGGGCGACATCACTGGAAAGTCGAGTCTCATCGGGCAGTGGCAGTGTCACCATAGTTAGTGTCATCGTGGCCGGCGACGATCACCGGGTGGAGGTGGTGGTGGATGTCACTGTGTAGCGTGTCACTATAGCAGTGGGTAAATTAGTAAGCTTATAACTTATTATCATTGTTCTAAAAATCGCCCTAGGCGCTAGGAGGTGGACGGGTGCCTCGATTTTAGTCTAGACGCTCCGACTAATTTATTTGACACTTAGGTGAATAACTCAGCCGTCATGGGCGTCTAGTTGCCCGCGCAGAGCGCTTAACCCGCCGCTTAGGCATCTAGATTTGTCCAACATTTTATTTTGGGTTTTCATTTTAGTATTCTAAAAGATATGTGTACCTTTAGTTTTAACAACACATATGAAGAAATGTACTAGTTGTATATTAAGATAAAAACTATAAGAAAAAGTTCAGGTCCGAACGTTCGGCCTCCGTCCGAAGACCGTCGTTTGGGGCGGTTCCCGGTGGATTATTTGATGAATTTTGTTGAACATGTTCCTCATCAAGTCTAGTTTGTCTATACCAAATTTCAGATCAAAATTAAACATAATTACCCAAGATTCTAATAAGAACTCCTTCTAAAATGAGATTTCATGTATAAATGTGGAGTTAGAATCGACAATATGACACTGAGAAATAAGAACTTGAGTGTTCATACTTGAAATGAAGAGGTTACTACTTTAATATTATACTCCGTAACCAAAATAAAGCTCCGATATCAACGGTGGTCGTCGGTCAAGACTAGGGAGACAAAAAGTGGTTCCTTAATTAGCTAGCTTATTCTCCATCCGGAGCTACTAGGCATTTCATATGTACAGACAGCGCGCAGGCCTAGTAGCTCTATTCTAGCTTTTATAGCAATGGTCAAAGTCTAAGCTATTTAATTGGCTGACTATCTACCTATTACGGAGTAATTAATTAATTAATTTTCCTCGGCCCGGCGTTCAGCTATGAGGATTCCGCGTAATCTCTTGCTGCTACTCATGATTGCTCTGCATTTCCTCTTCTGCACTTATACTGGTAATAATTAATATAATGTTCTCCATCAATTATATATTTCAATACCTGATTTATTTGACTCTGTTCCTTGATGTAAGTTCCGTTCTTGTACAAGCTATCTTAGCTCAATTATGCTGCAGCACTCTATCCCAATATACGGTGTGAAAATCAAGTCTTGAATAGGCTTGATGGCCTGCAAGGATAATCTTTATCAAACTGCCTTTATGTTAATGTTTAATTCCGTTTTTTGTTTCTCATTGTGTTAATTGAATTTAGTGTCACCTGCCCGGAACAATGAGTTGGTTGAGATGAATGTATTTTTGGTGTGTTAATGAGATGGGAGAATTTGTGTATGAATATACAGGTGAACAAAGAGTGAGAGCATTCACTGGAGCATATGGGATTAATTACGGAAGGGTAGCAAATAACATCCCTTCGCCAGATAAAGTGGCTAAACTGCTTAGAGCAGCAAAGATCAAGAATGTTAGAATTTATGATGCCAACCACAGCGTGATTAAAGCTTTTGGAGGGACTGGGCTTGAGTTAGTGGTGGGGCTTCCGAACAGCGAAGTGAAGGGCGTGAGCTCAAATGCGGGTCGTGCACTGGATTGGGTAAAAGACAATGTGCAGGCATTCATTCCTCACACCGACATCGTTGGGATTGCTGTGGGTAATGAAGTTCTTGGAGGGAGTGATGATGATGATGATGAACTGTCTGCAGCCTTGTTACACGCTGTGAAAAACATACACAATGCCACCCAAAAGCTGGGGATTAGTGACGCTATTCAGATAACAACTGCCCATTCACAAGCTGTCTTTGCTAATTCCTACCCCCCTTCCTCCTGCACTTTTAAAGAGAGTGTAGCTCACCTCATGAAACCACTTCTACAATTTTTCTCCGAGATCAGGTCCCCCTTCTGCTTAAACGTGTATCCCTTCTTGGCGTACACATATAACTCCGACAAGATTAACATCAACTATGCCCTACTCGGTATAAATAGGGGTGTTTTTGACAATAAAACTCATCTTCATTATGACAATCTACTCGATGCTCAAATTGATGCGGCATATGCTGCTTTGGAAGATGCCGGATATAGAGAAACAGATGTTATCGTTACAGAAACCGGTTGGGCTTCACACGGGGGGATAAACGAACCTGCTGCTACAAAGGTTAATGCTAGGACATACAATTACAATCTGAGGAAAAGACTTGCAAAGAGGAAGGGAACTCCATTGAGGCCCAACACAGTCCTCAAGGCGTATATATTTGCCCTTTTCAATGAAAATTTAAAGCCAGGACCGTTTTCCGAGAAGAACTATGGATTGTTTAAAGCTGATGGGAGGATCTCTTATGACATTGGCTTTTCTGGACTCTCTAATTTGGTGTCAAAGGTATGCGCCTTATCTTGCCTCAAGTACTTATTGTCACCCCCCTCTTTATATAGCATCACTTATGTAATGGTTAAGCTTCTTTTGCTTGTTTAAGAAGAGAGAATCAGATGCTTAGAGGTTGTGAATAGATCCCTGGAGTCCAATACGATCACAGGAACAGTAATACACGTTGATGCGAGTGTTGACTTTATGCCTCCATGTCCAATACGAACCTAAAATGCTCTACAATTATTCTAGGCTTAGATGTAAAGAGGAGCGTGCATGACACTGGAAGCAGAGTATGGGATGCACATAGTAAAGGAACAAGTATCAACTATCAAGTGCAATAGTAATATTTTGGAAGAGGACCTCTACCTATTATTATTACTAATTAGTACTCCTTAATAGTTTCTATTGATATTCTGTTCTAGACTTCTAGTTAATATCTCTATTATCGCATCATTAGTAAGAAGTAGATATCTAGGGGGGTAGCTTCACTAAATAGATAATCTGGAACAGGGTTGACAGGGTCCATTGTTTACTGTAATGTGCGCTGAAGTGTGTAATAAGCAGAAAAGGTAATGTTGGAGTTACTTTTCTAACTGTATTGGCTGAAGTTACTGTAAAGAACTTGCGATAATCTGTAAAATGACAAGGCAAGCCTTATCGCATCATTAGTTAATATCTCTATTATATTCAGGCACAAGGCGTTGACAAGGCAAGCCTCTAGGGCTTCTTTCAAGGATGAGATCCTCACCACGTGTATATTAATGTTAGTATCTTATAGTACAAATACGAAAGAAATACAAGAAAGAATAAAGAATCTTGAAACTGAACTCTCATGAGCCTCAAAAGAAACTCTGCAACAAGTATAACTCCTTCCCCTTAGCCTTTGCTGAATAATACAAAGAATAAACTATCTGCCCTCCTCTTTATCAGAAAATTGATAAGAATAATCTCACCTTTCACTGGTCTTCTCATAATAATCTCACCTTTTCGTAATCCCAGAATAATCTCACATTTGCACTACATCTTCTTTCATTGGACCCTTTCTTTGAAAATCTTATATGAACAATCCCACCTTTGTAGGTCATCAATAGGTCAGGGTCCAATAAAAGAAGATGAGGTGCAAAGGTAGGATTATTCTTGGATTACGTAAAGATGAGATTATTATGAGAAGACCAGTGAAAGGTGGGATTATTCTTGCCAATTTTTCCCAGAAAGTATTATTTATACCCTACAATAAATGTATAAAATAAGTAATACTTCGTACTTAATTTTTGTAATATGCCTTGCTGATATTATTTAACGGCTTTTGTTAGCCTCTATTATCTTCTTATTGAAAAGAGCATCTCTAGATTAGAGTTTAGATAAGCCGACACTTCCTTGTATTCATTAAATAATAAGAGATAGGACTAAATAGAAACAACCAACATTAACACCAAATATTTGCATGTTTATCTCTAACAGGCTGAAAAGAGAGGAGGACAAGCGCTTTGGGAAGACATTTCTTATAACATGTTGTTGGGTTAAGGGCCCAAGCCGAGGTTCGGCCCACTAACCCATTTTGCTAGACGAACGTCCAGTTAGAACACTAGGCCAGCCCACAGGCCCATGTTCCACGGGGATGGACGAACGTCTAGTGTTGGAGGACTCAGGCCCAGCAGCTCATCCCGACGAACGTCTATGCAGGGACAAGGAGCAGAACCACGGGCCACCAGGAATGACGACGAACGTCCCCAGAGCAAGCCTGTAGTCATCGGAGAAAACCCAGTCCACATGGTGAGTATCCACCAAGGCCAGGAGACGAACAGCCGATATCTCCCAAGGGTCCCTTGGAGCAATCCAACTCACTTCCCGGTGGACGAACGTCCCCACTAATCCGGCGGGAAACCTAGATTCTGGCGGGAAGTGCATTTAATGCTAAAGATTTGGTAGTTGGGACACCAGCGGTCCACAGGCTGCCACGTCACTACAGCCACCTGCCCATTGGCGGGTATAAATAGAAGCATTTATTCCGTTGTAAAGGGTTGGCAACTTTCTATTCTTAGCATACTAGCTCCAGCATTCTTACGAGTAGCATTTCTATCGCCTTGTAAGACGAACGGCCGACGTGCCCTTTTTAGCAAGTAGATTGTACTTAGGGGAGTTATTACGAAGTTAATAATACCTATTTACATTGCCTGCTATTACTCTTGCTTCCTGATTCATCTGATAGTTGTTGGGCTAGATAACCACACACTCACTCCACTCGAAATCTTTGGGCTTACGTGTTGGGTCCAAGGGTTGAAGGAATAAACCTCAACACTGGCGCCGTCTGTGGGAAACTGAGCAAAAAGTTTCCAGAAACTCTCCCAAACAGCTACTAAATCTACCCACAGCAAGCACAATGTCAGGAAGCCACAACCAGCGTGATCTCTCCGAACGTCTGGAGTCAAGCCGCCGGAATCGCGGCCAGAACTCGGAACGATCCGCAACAATATGGACCTCCGGGGGAAACAGGGGTATCACCGACCTCATTCCCCTTGAGGCCAGGCAGGATCCCCGCCTCATGCGGGAACTTGCGGACACCATGCGCCGTTTGGCAGACGAACGGGAAGCCCGAGAGCAAGTGTACTCGGCAAGCACCCAGCGAACCCCCCTATCTCCCGTTCGCCGCATGCAGTCGTATGATGAAACGATGGGGTCCAGCGATCATCGACCCTCAGTCCACGAGCGGCTAGGCGAGGGTTCCGGCTCCCAGGGAACGGGAGGACGAACCAGGGCCAGCATTGCCGCGTCCAGGGCTCACACGCCATCGGCCCCCCCGCCAGATCCCGCGGGGGGACGAGACCCCAAGGGTCAATACCGTTGGGCGACGTTTCCAACGGCGAGGGACGCAGATCTTTAGGCGGCCGCACGATGCTGTGGCCGCTCAGCAGAACGTCACCCCCGAAGCCGCGCCCCCTGTGTCCCCCGGAAGGGCCGCACAGGACGCACGGCTGGAAGCCATGGAGAGGCAGATAGCCGAGATGAATAGGCGGGCGGACGTCGGCTCGGCCACACCCTCCTTCTCTCTCACATCACCTTTTACTCCACGGGTGATGGGCGTCGAGATTCCCCGGGATTGCAGGCCCCCGGGCAACTTGGTGTACAATGGGGCTGGCGACCCCAAGGCCCATCTGATAAGCTACCAAGGGAACCTGTCCATGCTGGGAGCATCAGACGAGGCCATCTGCAGATTGTTCTTCAGCACCCTCAGGGGGCCGGCGCAAGAGTGGTTCGGCCAGCTGAGGCCAGGCACCATCGACTCATATGAACAGCTCTCCCAGCAGTTCATGGCGCAGTTTGCTGCCAGCACCACCCCCAGGAAGGACGTCACGGCTCTCGCCCACATCAAACAAGGGCGGGACGAACCGCTGGCTAGGTTCCTGGTAAGGTGGAGGGACGAGGTCCTGCAGGTCGACGATCTGGACGAACGTCTGGCCGCCAACATGTTCACCAGTGCGCTGGCCACAGGGGATCTATACCGGGACCTAAGGAGGAATCCCGGCACCAGCTACGCCGAGGTTCTTGCTCGGGCCCAGAAGTACGCCTCCATTGAGGAGGAGATCAGGCAGCGGGACGGAATTCCCGCGGCCCAGCCACGGAAGATGGCAGACAGACTCGGACCCGGACCAGGAACCATCCCCTCCCCCCCAAACAAAAAGAAGAAGGTGGACGGGGCAATGGTCCCTTGGAAGGCTCCGTCCGGAGACAGCCAAGCGCGGCCGGACGACCGTTATTTTCCCTTGGCCTACCCAGTGAGCCAGATCTTCGAGGCCATTAAGGACAAGGGCCTCCTTATGGAGCCCCAAGATATGAAGAGGTATATGGGGCACGACCAATCGGCCTACTGTGAATACCATCAGAGGACCGGCCACCTGACGGATAATTGCAGCCAATTAAAGAAAGCAATCGACGAGCTGATCCGTCAGGGGTACCTGGGCGAGTTCGCCCAGCTGCTGAACAAAAACAGCCAGCAGAAGCCGAACTCAAGGCACAAGACATGGCGCCGCGACGATCGGCGCGAGGCAGAACCTCAGGACGTGGATTATCGAAGTGCAGATAAACGTCCGGAGGGATCCCTCGGCCCGAAGGGCGAGAAAAAGAAGTTGGAGATCAAGGTGATCTTCGGGGGCGCTGAGACAGGGGATACACCCGCCGAGCGGAAAAAATTTGAGAGATCACTCTATGTGGGTTCCGTATCGGCACCCCCCACCAAGCGCAATAGAGCCGAGGCAATTACCTTCGGCCCCGCTGACCTGCCAATGTCACCGGCGCCGCACAGAGACGAGCTGGTGATCAGCATGGACGTGAACGATGCTATCGTCCGTCGCGTCCTCGTTGATACCGGGAGCAGTGTGAACGTCCTCTACTGGGAGGCTTTCGAAGGAATGAAGCTCAGGAAGGACATGCTGCACCCCCTACGCACCCCGCTGTCCGGCTTCACCGGGGATTGCATCGACGCCGAGGGTACCATCGCCTTGCCAGTAGAAATCGGCGACGGTCCTCATACGGCCCGGATCAGCATGACGTTCGTCGTGGTCCGCCTAAAATGCGCCCACAATGCCATTTTGGGCCGACCCGGCTTGGAAGACTTGGAGGCCATATGCTCCGTACGGCACTCATGCATCAAATTCCCCACCGACACTGGAGTGGGAGTGGCACGTACGGACCCGCATATGGCCAGGGCCTGCTACACGAAGGCGATGGAGAAGCTCAACGAGCGGGAAGCTCGGGTCAACAGCATCTCCGAGAAGGCCAAACAGGCCGACTTGGATGCTCATCTGGAACCAGCAACTCTGCTGGAGGAAATCGAGCTCGACGACCCGACGGACAGGAAGGTGTCCATCGGTGCAGATCTAGAGCCGGAGATCAGGGCGGGGGTCATAGCTGTCCTACGGAGGTTCCGAGTCTTGTTCGCCAGGGGACCGGAGGACATGCCGGGCATCGACCCCAACCTCATATGCCACAGACTCGCCGTGCGGCCGGACGCCAAGCCTGTGCAGCAAAAGAAAAGATACATGGCGGCCGACCGACGCGATTTCATCAGGAAGGAGACGGCAACTCTCCTCAGCATTAAACACATCCGGCCGGTCATCCACGTGGAGTGGCTGGCCAACGTGGTACTAGCCCCGAAGGGCGACACTTGGCGGATGTGCGTCGATTACTCGGACCTGAACAAAGCTTGTCCGATGGATCCATACCCCGTCCCGAGGATCGACTTGCTGGTAGATGAAACGGCAGGCTGTGAGCTGCTCAGTTTCATGGACGCATTCCGGGGCTATCATCAGGTGTTCATGCACCCCGATGATGCCGAGAAAACGGCGTTCGTCACGGCGGACGGCGTGTATTGCTACATCGTCATGCCGTTTGGCCTGAGGAACGCCATGGCTACTTTTCAAAGGATGATTGGGATGTTGTTCAAAGACGTACTTGGGAAAACAATGGAAGCTTACGTGGATGACATCCTGATCAAGAGCAAGAGGAAGGAGGACCATGTCCAGGACATGGAGAAGGTCTTCGGCATCATGGAGAGGGCCAGCATGAGGCTCAATCCGAAGAAATGTGCCTTCGCCGTCCGGGGCGGCAAGTTCCTCGGCTACATGATGAGCGAGCGGGGAATCGAGCCTAACCCGGAGAAGGTGAAGGCAATTATGGACATGGAGGCCCCGAAGAACCTAAAGGATGTGCAGCGACTCACCGGGCGTCTGGCGGCCCTGAGCAGGTTCTTATCCAAACTGGCTGATAAGGCGATCCCCTTTTTCCAAATCATGAAGAAGGCCAATCCCTTTGAATGGACCCCGGAGTGTCAGGCTGCCTTTGAAGACTTCAAGGTGTATCTCTCCTCCCCGCTCGTCCTCACCAAAGCGGATCCCGGGGAGAGATTGTACATATATCTGGCAGTGGCCGACCTGGCTGTAAGTGCCGTGCTGCTGAAGGAATCTGAAGGCGTTCAGCGGCCGATATATTTTGTGAGTAAAGCACTGAACGGCCCCGAGACGAGATACACACTGATGGAAAAGACGATCCTCGCCTTGATTGCATCCATCAAGCGCCTGGCGCCATACTTCCAAGCACACCCGATGACCGTCTACACAACGCAACCCCTCGCCACCATCCTCAGAAATCCAATGGCGAGCGGGAGGATAACCAAGTGGTCCCTGATGATCGGCCAGTATGACGTGGACTTCAAACCAAGGCCGACGATCAAGGGACAGGCACTGGCGGACTTCATTGCAGAATGCACCGCGCGCGCCGAGGACGAAACCCATAACAGCAACGACTTCGACAATTGGTGGGAGATGTACACCGATGGGGCCTCGAGTGCGCGGGGCTGTGGCGGGGGAGCGGTGATCACTTCCCCCGAGGGTTTCAAGGCCTATTACTCTATGAAATTCGAGTTCAAGGTCACCAACAACGAGGCTGAATACGAGGCGCTTATCGCAGGACTGAAATGCGCGAAAGCCCTCGGAGCAGCCCGTCTAAAGGTGAGAATGGACAGCCAGCTGGTAGTAACCCAGAT